CTCCAAATGGTCCGAACTTCCATGAGTTTGGTTTGCTCCGTGAAAGGTATAGTAAAAAGGAGTTTGTCTTTTCAGATAGTTGGTCTTAATTAGCAGCTCCCAAACTCGCCTGTGGGGGGACCGTGTGAGGTCGCCTACGGGGTGACCTCGCTTACTTGACTGCATTGGCTGTTAATTTCTCAGCAATTTTGCTAGCACAATATATGAGCTCCATGATTAATTTCGATTTGCTTGCGTGATTTATATTTTGTACTGTCTTATGGAAAATCTTTTTTTATACACCATAAGTTTTTGGTTCCTTAGAGAGTTCAACTTTGATTAATGTTTGAGTAATTAAATCGGATTGACGATTTCAAAATGTGGACTTTTCCCATTTTTGTCTTCAGTCAAGAAGCTGAGGCCTTAAAGCTTTTGTAGTGTATCAAGAAGCGATGTATTTTCTGATTATTTAAAAGTGCTTTGAAAGATTCCAAAATTTGATTTCGACGTTGCATAAAAGCTCGCACTGGACGCTGTTTTGAGTTTAGCTAGAGGCTCACTGAGTCTCATCCACCTGTAGATACATCAGAGTGGGGAATCGACAGGGACAATGTCCATTAACACTCTCAACGAGTTGCACATGTATTCACTGCTTATTGAACACAAATGGGGACCCGGTGCAATGCCAAGTTCTGAGGTTGTGACCACTTTAAGCAGTTCTAGAAGTTAATATTTCTTAACCGAGCACCTCAACAAATTTTGACGTGCTTTAGCTACTTCAGCGCCTAGATCGAAAGAAACCAATGCATGCCTTCATTGTTCGACAACTCGCATTCAAAATAACTTTCACACTGCTTCAGCCTGCTCTTTCCCTAATGTGTTTTGTTTATGGTCTTTTCCCATAAATTACTATAGTACCATGCAGAAGAAAACCAGCACCAGCCCTAAATAAACAAGTAAAAAACGACTATGTAAGTAATGCGAATGCCAATAGTGCTAATGCATGTTTGAAAAGCGAGGCGGAGTATATCACCATTAGATAGAGCAGTAATCTAAGAAAATGTCCAAAAAGATTCGCTTTTTGTTTCGATCATACCAGTATACCACATCAGGAATAATATGAGCGGTTTTCTTGTTCAATATCTTGTTGCCCTCTCTTGAGTGAGTCTAGCAAGAAAAGAGGGTCTACGGACAAGTTGAATTTAATCCCTTCAAATGCGTCGGACATCTTTTTTTTCTCTGCACCCTCTCGTCCTTGTTGCATTCTGTGCTCATTGTGACCTCACATATTCCAGTTTTTCACACATGGTAAGTGGCTCACCCACCCTGGAGTCCCCTCCCCTTGAAAAATCCCGCTTCCTGGCTCGCCATACGTTTTTGGCACGTTTCGATGCTTTGGCAGCCGCTGCCCTCTATCCGTCTGCGTCACAGGGTTTCGTAACAGGACCGCCACCAAAAGTTCAAGAAGTCACGTAACCCTCCCCAAAAGAGACTAGGTGTGAAGGGTGTTCGTCTGACTGGCCAATCTCAATGTACACATCCATAAAAGGGAGGCCGGTTGGGAAAAGGGAAATTCGCACTCTTGGACGCTCCTTGATTAAACATATGGATTAGTGTTGGGACATATTGTACGTGGATTAATGGCACCGTCGATTCTTCCCGCGTTTCAAGGCTCGTGTCAAGGCTCGTGATGAAACCTAAACAACAAATTTAACATTACTTATGAAAGTTGTTTGTTATTTACAAGCTGCGATTTCGATCGCAGAGTTGCAGGACAGGAAAGTCATCAGAAAAATGTAAGGTTCTGCACGCGCCCGAACGGTACTCTCCAGCCAGCCTTTGAAATCAGCTGTCACATCCATTATCTCACATTTTTGCCCCCTACCAGTTCGTGAAGGGATGTTTAGACAATCAGTGAATAGGTAAAGTGCTGTAGAGATAGAAAACAGTGTTCATTACTTCTGAAAGACAGGTAAGCTGCGACAGCAGGGAGGCTCGTAGGTAGATCGAAGAATTAGCGACTGATTCGGGAACTTGCTCTATTCCATTCTGCGCCTTCCTTCCTTTGACAGCTGATTTTTGCTGAGTTTTTTCGAGCCGCAAGGCGGACAACGACGGCGAAGTTCCACTTTGACATTGCTCGCTGGGTAATTGTGCCATTCTATTCGCAGAGGTCATGTCCGAGACGACGAAACACATCTTCCTCACCATGACATTTTCGTCTCTTCATTCTACACACCAATATATTCAATTAGGGCCAGTTGTTTTACATGCTCGTATACAGTAATAACTGTCGTATTTAGTGGATACTTGTATTACTGTCATACTTTAATCACAACTTCAACTGCGCGCCCATTCCTCTGTTGTCGTATTCCTTTATATGTTTAGGTATCATGAGTTCAATCTCACATTTTACTGCTGTATCTCTATACTGCATGAAATCTCCTTATGTGTAACAAGATTACTTGTACGAGTGACCAGGTTGGGATCAGCCTTGAATTGAGGCATTTCTATGCGCTTTACTCTTCAATTAACGGCTTAGGTTCGTGTTTCAAATCAGGTAGAGTAGATTGGAATCTTTTCAGCAACACCACTCTGTTCAAGGACAGGCTCCGCGTTTGATTGATGTTTAAAAACCTTTTTTGAAAAAGAAAGCCCAGAGGATGTCCCAGTTTTCCGGGCCCGAAAAACACGTGGGGAAGGCGCGATTCGCTCGCGAAGAGAGCAACGCCCCGTCCACTGCTCCATACTACACCCAACTTTCCCTGCGCCCACTACGACCCTTGCTTCAGGAGAACTGAGCTACTTACAATATGATGACGACAACCCTCAGTGCCTGACTCCTTCTTCTTCTACTTTCAATGTGAGCCGCCGGATAATTTCGACGTTTTCGAAAAGGCCTTCAGATAGAAAATGTGGTAATTACCAGTGCCAATTTGCATGCCAACACCGAGAACTAACTTTCCAGAGCAACTTCAATTTTCTTCATTTTTTGAAAATTTTCACTTTGACAATGTCCCAAAAGTATAGTTCCACTAAACAAATCGATTCATAAAACAACAAGTGTACAACAAAATGAATAAATTGTTAATTCAATAATCTACTGCAGCCCCATTCCTTTGAATAAGTTGGAAAATGCGGTTGTCTATGCTCGAATAGAGGTTTTAAATCAGTTTTCGGTCGACATGCTGCCATGCATCAATTATTGACTCCTTGAGCTCACGGACATTGTGGAATCGTGCATTGTTCGCATAGATCTTGCGTACCATGAAGCCCCACACATTCTCGATTGGGTTTAAGTCAGGGCTATTCGCTGGCCAGGGCAAAAGAGCGATTTGATGACGACTGAACCACGCTCGAGTGCTTCGGCTGACATGAATTGGTGCATTGTCTTGCATGAAAACAGGACTTTCATGCCGAATCCTTCGCCAGAAGGAAGCAGACCTCGTCGCATGACCTTTACATAGTCGGAAGAATTCATTTTCTTCGATGCGAAGCACAACTTTGGACGTCCCGATGTGAAAGCAGCCCAGACCATGACACCACCCCCTCTGAAGTTCCGCCTGGAAAAATGAAGCTTCTCTTTCCTAAGATAGTGCCAGTAGGGCCGATTTCCGTCTGGACCATCGCAGTTGAATTTTTTCTCATCAGAAACACGACCTGGAGGAAAAAAAACTGAAAAGACAAGACAGACAAGCAGTAGGGCACCACTGCCATAAGCTAACCGTACTCCATTCGGTTCGGCAGCACCTAGCGGAGGCAGTCCGGTTTTCGTGATGGTGTTTGTTAAGAACGGTGCCTTCCTCATTTTCCTCCTGAGAATGAACTCTTACGTTTTTAAGACACGCCGACAGCCATCTCTTTCGAGACGTTAAGCTTCAAAGTTGACTTTACCTACCGCACGACATTGTAGAATTTGATGCTTCTCTCAAAGTACGGCGCTTTTCCCGATCAGAGAGCAAAGGAGGACGCCCAGAGCTCTTCTTGATTCCATATCCTGCGGGTTCCCTGACAAAATTATTGATAACATGATGACTGCGGCCCAACTCCCTTGCGATTTGACGGTTCGACAGTCCTTGAGCCTTCTTTGCGATAATCTGCCTTTTTTTCGAAGTCCGAAAATGAATGTCCTCTCGCCATAATTTTGGAAAAGGTGAGAAGTAATGATGAGACAGTTTTACCCAAAAAAATGAGACGCAGTGGGAAAATATGCGGTGGAACTATACTTTTGGGACATTGTCAAAGTGAGAAATTTCAAAAAATAAAGAAAATTGAAGTTGCTCTGGAAAGTTAGTTCTCGGTGTTGGCATGCAAACTGGCACTGGTAATTACCACATTTTCTATCTAGAGGCTTTTTTGAAAACGTCGTGTAGGGCGGGATATTGTGAGATTTATGGGTGGAACTATATTTAAGGGACGCAGTGTAGTTGACCTGCGGTGGAACTATACTTTTGTGACATTGTCAAAGTATGAAATTTCAAAAAATAAAGAAAATTGAAGTTGCTCTGGAAAGTTAGTTCTCGGTGTTGGCATGCAAATTGGCACTGGTAATTACCACATTTTCTATCTAGAGGCTTTTTTGAAAACGTCGTGTAGGGCGGGATATTGTGAGATTTATGGGTGGAACATACTTATGGGACGCAGTGTAGTTGACCTGCACCTATTATATTTTTTGAGCGAAGATTGGCAAAACAGGTTAGTTTGAGGCGCACTTCCACAAGCCTCCCTAGGAAGTCTCGAAATTTTTCGGAAAGCGCTCGCATCTATGGCAACAGCCATCTTGAGGAGGCATACTTATTGCCATACGAGTCGTATTTTTGTAGCAAGCACCGCCCATCCGTAGTACGCCACGCTCAATGTGGGGGTGTGCCTGCTTCATCTCATTCACCTACCCGATTCCTAGCAAATAAACGACAAAATGAATTAGTGCAGGGAAATCCTGGGACCAAGGAGACGCTCTAGTAACTGTCCAAGACCGAGAGATCTTTTCAGGCGCGTCTTTTTTCGAGAATTTCTACGGAATGAAGCGAATTTATCTTGCAACGGGAAAATCACCAACTGACTTTAGGTCTCGTATTCGCAATCTCATGTTACTAGTGAGTTTGGTCTTGGCAATTTTGCTTTGCTCCCCTTATAAAACATTTTTTCCTTTCGAAATCATCCAACTTTCGAGGTACTATGGCCATATGTTCGAGATAAATTCGATAAATGACACATGGAATGGACGGATCGCCTGTGGTATGCTCCAGCAATGACGAGGGTAAAAATTGGTTTGGGAGTTGTTTCTGTGGAGAATTTGGATCCACCACTTTTTGGGGCCATTTTAGCAGTTGTGCAGCTTCACGCTGAGTTGCTGTGAGGGAGTAGGGGGATAGGATGATGGGATCAGGTGCAGTCATGCCAACAGTCTGCGATGAACAAGAATACCTGTGAACCAGAGGCACCATACATAAGCTGGATCAAGTTAATTAATGTGTGAAGTGGCCAGGTCTACAACTTCAAAGATGTGCCATTTCCATATCTCAAAAGTGCATGGAAAGGACATGAGAGGTCTACTTTCGTGGCTAGCCACGCCTCCTATGACTAGCGACGCCCATTGCTATCACACGGACAATAGCTTGCTCGTTTGTGTTTTTTCTACCCCTCATTATCGTATGACCTGTTAGACAGGCACCCGCTGTTTCTTCATCGTATTCTTATACATGTTGAGAACACGCTCCACGTCCACAGGAAACATGGTTGTAAGGGGTATAGGGTACAGGGAAGGTGTGGAATAGCTCAAGGGCTAGATCAATGCGTGCTTCTTTCAAACTCCGCTGAATGAATGTACTGAAGTCATTAGAACTCTGTGACTCTTTATAATCTTATCAACAATTGACCGCTTTCCAGGATCTTCGAGTAAGGCTGGGAAAGATTTTTCTGCGAGTTTGGCCGTGGCTGAAAAGGATGCTGACACTAGCAACGACGATTCTCCATTTAGGGTGAGGACTAAGTATTTAATATAGGAAGAGCGTATAGTAGAGTATCCATTGAAGTAATCATATAGATAATGGGTCATGAACGTTTGAGGGACCTTCTCTTTTATCATGGTAGTTCTCCTTCGCATGGGAGCCGTTTTGTGTACGTCGGGCATATGTACTGTCGATATCAGAGGGCAACAAGGGGCGTAGCTGCAGGCGCGAAGAGGGAGATTCCGCTCAAATGCTATGACTAGTAGTCGCAAAGGTCAAAATACTGAAAGTAGACATATACTGCGGACACTGGAAATGAGTAGGAGTTCGCTGCAAGTAGCTAGAATATTATTTAGTGAATGTTCCCGTAGATGGAGTTTCGGAGGCTACAATCAACCCATCAACTTTCAGTGTTCAGGTATATATTGAACCGATCAGCAGTCCACTCTCCCTTCCTCCTGTTGGCCGGTGTTCGCCTTGAGAAGTTAACACAACAGGATATGGATTTGTTTGAGAAGTCAGTTCGTTTTCTGAGTACCTGATCATATTCACGTTCACCAGCGCCTCCATATACATGTCAGCGCCCCTAGGCTTCATATTCCGAGGTACGTCTGGTTTAGCAGGCTCCAGTCCCATTTACAAGCAACCGTTCGTTTCCATTGCGGTGCAGACACATTCTGCGCTTGGCCCAGCAACAAATTCCTCAGTTACCCGAGATACCCGGGACACATTCCTGGATATCAGAATACGCCCAGTTGAAACGGTACACAGAAAACGGGTTTTTTGAGCAGCTCGGGGTGTTCTTCAGAAAATCCCCAACCCAATTATTTCATAAATCCCAAGAACTTCAGAAGCAATTCAAGTTGTAGGGAATCTCCTAATACTCGACACTTGTTTTGGATTTGCAAACAGTTGGGTTTTCAGGAAATTATATTCGTCCAAACCATGACAGGTTGCATCCAAGTTCGAAATTCCCCACCTAATCCCCACGAATTTTCTCCAAATTTGGCAACCTTTGTAAACATTTCAGTACCTTTCCAGGAGCTCAAATCGTTTAATTCACAAATGCGTTCTCCTCTTTCCCAACGGTCTGCCTTTCAGGAAGTTATAAGCATTTAAGACAAGTTGCTTCACTTAAGGGGGTCTAGAAAAACGCGCCGGCTTGGGGTGGCAGTCTTGTTGAACACAGCAAAAAGGTTTTGTGCGGCAATAGGTTCCAATACTACAGAAGGCTTGGGCTATCAGTCTGCCCTCTACTAGAGGCTTGGGGTGGAAATCCTTTTGAAAGGCAGAAAAGTTCATTTTGGCAATCCAGTGAACTTCTTCAGAAGGACTTGGGCTATCAGTCTGACTGCCCTCTACTAAGAGGCTGGGGGTGGCAGTCATGTTGAACAAGGTAAAAAAGTTCATTCTGGCAATCTAATGAATTCAGAAGGCTTGGGCTATCAATTCGACTGCCCTTTACTACACAACTTGTTCAGAGCTCTTTCGACCAGGGACGTGTAGGTGCTTCTTCTGTCTTATAAAACTTTCTAAGACCCATTGTTGAATATGGCACTCCTGTGTTTAGCCCTTATAAGCTTAAAGTGATAAACATGCTGGAGAGGGTTCAGAACAACTTCACAAGGAAACTTATGATACGCATCCTTGGGTTTTCTTACGATCAAATTCCCTGTAGTGAAACTAAACAGATTCGCCATGGACCTCCCTGAATCCTATAGACACATTTGCTCGCGTGGACAGACATTACGCACAAGTTGCACCATCCCATCACCTCTGCGCGGACCTCAGTGCGCGGCGCATCCAAAGTCAGCGTGATCGGCGCTAAACGAACCATATTCTGCTCCTGCTCCACCACAGGATACGTTTTTCATGCGTTCCTGGTTATTCGAACACGCTCACTTGAAACGGTACACAGGAAACGGGTTTTTCGCGCAGCTGGGAGTGTTCCCCAAGAAATCCCCATCGCGAGATCTCATGAATCCCGAGAACTTCAGAAACAGTTCAAGAGGTTTTTAGAAAGAGAAAATCTTCAAACACTCGAAACCGTTCTCAGATTTGTGAAATGTTGAGTTACAAAAAAAATATATTGATTCAAACCTGTTCAGTTGAAATCACTCCCCAACGAATCCCCATGGCAGATTTCTCTGTGATTTTTGCGACCTTCATAAACGTTTCAGTACTTTTAGGAACTATTCCAAACCTTCCACGTCACGGATACGGTCTACTCTTCCCCACAGGTCCGCTTTTGAGGAAGTTATGG